ATATATATATATATATATATATATATATATATATATATATATATATATATATATATATATATATATATATATATATATATTATTTGAAACTTTTAATATGGATAATTTCAAAAATAGTTTTGGCACAATGGCGCCCCCCATGTGTGGCGCCCCTATGCGCCGCATATACTGCATACCCCCTTTTTGCGCCACTGTGGTTAAGGAACTCTGTATTTTTAATGGCCATGTCATACAAAAATCGGTCAAGGTGTAAATAAATGTAAAACAAATTCAGGAGTTAAATAGCGTTGCTGAAGCTTTGGATAAGAAATATTTGTGTAAATATTGCAGTTGCAAGAATACAGAGGGATTTTTGCAAGCTTTGCTGAGTCTATAGGAAAGATTGGCTGTCAGCTCGGCTTTGACTTTGTCTTCTGATTGAATGTCAGGTTGTAAAGCTGCTGCCTTTTTCTTAAAAAGATAGAGTGGAAGAAAAGGACTGAACATGGACACTGCAAAGCCTAATTTAACCCAATGTGTGAAGTTGTGGACGTATAGCAGGAGCAAATACAAGCACCAGATGCGTGTCTAATATAAAATTATATGTTTAGTTTAATCTATTTTTCTTTTTCCCCTTTTAAATACCGATGATTTGATGCGCTTTGCTCCACTGTCTGTATTATGCTGGCTGATCTGTCTGGTTTTCAACTAGGTCCGCTAAATGATGTCATGGTGGTGGCTACTTTCATTTTCACCGCTACAGTCCTTCACTTCTACTCGTGTTCAAACCAAAAGATCGGCGCGGTTTTTCACATGGCTTTTACGTCCTTCATACATGTTGAGGTCGAGTTTATCGACTTGATGAGGGAATATGTCTTGACAATCCACACAGATGTGCAACAAGTAAAATCCTACATGACTTCACGATTTAACAGGCAGTCAAGCAGGTCGCACACCAGAAGCGCCGTGACAAAATGTTGTAATGGGGGCGGGTACTTTCATTTTCACTGCTACAGTCACTCCCCTCTACTCGTGTTCAAACCAAAATTAAATCGTCTTAAAACGTAAATTCGAATTAATCAAAAAAATGGCCCAGCCCTAATTGCAAAATATAAATCTGGAAAAAATAAAAAAATAAATAAACACCGCAATGTCAGATTTTTCCAATGTCATGCACCCCTATTCACAAATAAAGCAAGTGTGGTATATTTTTATAAAGGTTATACTTCCACTAAAGAAACCCCACATGTCCACTCGCACACAGTGATGGTTTACGGTTTCCTCCCATCACACGGTCTAGAATTTCACTACAACACACCAGGTGACTCCATGGAAACACTGCCTAATGATGCAATATCAGTTTTCCCTCAGATCGACGGCTTGTTTGGATTAGTACAGTATTACTACTATATTCCACACAAACAAATCCCACCAGAATGTGTAGCTTATAACCGTATCGCACTGCAAACTGACTCCCACAAATACATCCACTCATCTTGACCTTCCAGTGACCTACATTTTTAATGTCAGCAGCATATTATCAGATATGTAATATAAACACATTCCTTTGCATAGTCTCATCCTTATTGGCACTGTACTTTGGCCTATCTGTCCTTCTGATGCAGTAAAACCTCTGCAAATGACCTAGATGATCGTTAAAAATACAGGTCAAGCCTCGCTTTCTGTATATACACATGCACAACAGTTATACAGCGGTCAACATTTGAAGGTGATCGTCACTTTTCATTAAAGATGTTCTAAAACTATTAAAACACCCCAAATTAGGATCTTTTTGAATAACTTTAAATGTTGACTGTCTTTATTTATTGTTCAATATGCATATGCATTAACCCTTCACACTGTTCAAATTTACCAACCTTTTGTTATGTTAGAGATGAAAACATCCACTGAGTTAAACTGCTGTAAAAATGCATCAGATTTGTCAATTTTTTTGCATAAATCTGTTAATCAACCTCAGTCCAGATCAAAACTACTAAATGTTTTTTTTTTCAAATTACATGATTTTAACCCTTTAATTGTCAAGCTCACAAATGACATCACTGATTTGGTGAAAAACACACACAAAATGAAATAATTTCAATATGAAAAGTAATTGTGGACTGGATTTGTTTTATCTTTTGATCACAGTTGTGGACATGTAACCCATTGTCTTTGATGCATTGTTAGATTTTCCTTTTTCCTCCCTCATTTATTGTTGGTGGCTTGCCCGATTGACTTCCATTACAACCACATTTGATGGTGCACAAATACTCAGTCTTTGTTTTTGTTTACTCCATGTCGTTCTGAGAGCTGAGATGCATATTTTGATTTTCTCAGACACATTAAGGTGTGTAAAAGTCACTCACACACACTCACAAACTCTCAGAAATTAAAGTACAAGAGCTGTCACAGTGATGGTACCTTTTCAAGTTACAAATTTGTACCTAAAACTCCATATTAATACCTCAAGGGCACATATTAGTCCCTAAAAAGTGCAAAAGTGGTCCTCTTAAAATTAATAGGTACTAATATATACTTTTGCGGTACCAACATGGACCTTTCGAGTACAAATGTGCACCTTTTAAAAAGGTACCACCCCAGTGACAGCTCGTGCACCTTTATTTCTGAGAGTGCAGACACACACACACTTTAATTTGCTGTTAAACTCCATATAAAATCCAAATATTAAGCTTTTTTTTTTTTTTGCACAGGCCTATCTAAATGGTTAATGCTGCCAACTGATGATCAACAGTAAAAGTGACAAATTTTACCTCTTCCCAACAGGGAAAACCACCAACAACCAATAATGCATGATTATATGGTGTTATGGTTTTGCAATCAAATAAATGTGGTTATAATGAACTTCAATGAGGCAAAAACAGACACCAACAGTAAATTAGGGCGAATAAAAAAGAAAATTGATCAAAAACATTGCATCAAAGGCAGTGCTGTTTCATATGTTCAAGACTTTGATAAAAGGTTAGAAAAATCCAGTCCACAGCTACTTTTAACATTTACAATACGACATTTTACGTGTTTTTTTTCACCAAATCAGTGACATCATTTATGAATTTGGCCATCAAAGAGTTAAAATCCTGACATTTTCTAAGCAATTTAGCAGTTTTGAGAAGGACTGAGGTTGATTAACAGATTTATGAAAAAAAAAAAACTAATTTAAAAATCAGATGTATTTTAAAAGCAGTTTAGTTTAGTGGATGTTTTTATCCCGAGCATAACAAAAGGGTAAATTTGCCCAGAGAATATTGCTGATTTTTTCTTTTTTTAAATTGAAGCATTTACTAAAAAAAATGAGTCAAATTAAGATTAGTCACCAAAAATCATCCTGCTAGCTGAAACAGAGAAAGTTATGGCCAAGTTAAGATTCAAAATCACCCCAGAGTAGATGAAAACACCCCCAACAGCACATTAAAGGGTTAACACATTCACGCTGAAGACAGACATTAGTGGGCGTGGATTGAGTCGCTCTGGAAGCAGCCTCCAACCCCCATCCACATGCGCTCCAGGACTCCTTTATGACGTCACAGAATTCCCTCATTCGCGCTTTACCAGTTTCACGACTTCGAGGAGTCTCTCTGCAGTTATTTAGCCGAAGGCAATAAAATTCCTGTTACAGAATCTTCGTTTATGTTTGTGATCGATGTAGATCTGCGAGTGACAGCACACTGAGCTACAGTGAAACTATGATAGAACTTTAAAAGAACAGATCAAACAAAGTTACAGCTCCAAATGGAACGTGGATGCAGTTGGAATGCAACAATGTAGCAATTCAAACTGAGAAACGGACGTTCCATTTCAACGGAAACTATGTTGCATGTGTCATACGAGTGATAAGATACTACCTGCATTACAAAGCATCATATCTGAAAGAAATGTCAAAGCAATTACTATGAACACCACAGCACAGCTGTTTTAGGAAAAAGGAGGCTGTTATGCTATTACAGCCGCTGCTTGAGATCAATCACTTGATGAGTTCCTCGCTTTGAATGAAATGTTCTGCTAAAAAAGTTTAAAAAGCTAAAAAAAAAAAAAAAAAACTTGCTTATGTCAAAAGTAACAGCTTTCTCTGCACTAAATATTAACAAACCGAAATGTGTTGAGGTAAAGTTGTTTTTATTGACATACTCATTCGTTTTGAAGTGACAAGTTGTGACAATAGTTTAAACATTAGGTCTGAATCGCATGTAAGTACACTTAAAAACAACATTAGCGGTATTTAATTAACTAAAAACAATGTACTTTGATAGTCACTAGCTGCTAATATGACTTCACAATTTAGTATTTGATTAAATACTTTTCTGAAAAGCTATTATTAAAGAGAAAGTCCGAATGTGAGAATATAAAAGCAACTTTACTTCAATCCGAAATGTCTGAAGCACCACCATCAGTTCTAGATTGAGGAAAAGTTAGTTATATATTCGCATATTTTAACTTTCTCCTTTATAATATCATTTCAGAAAAGTATTATTTGCAAATTATAAATGGGAAAATAACATTAGCAGCCAACGACTGCTGTTTACAGTCAATTAAACAGTGCTAATGTTGTTAACGTAAAAGCAATTTCAGACCAAATATTCAAAGCACCATGCTACAAAATATAGGTCGCGTGTCAGAAGCTGTCATTGAACGAATGTGCAAATATAAAACCAACTTTAACTCAATCAGTTCTAGGTATGTTTGTGGTGGTGATACTTAACCCTTTGAGGAAACGCAGTGATCCTTCAAAACTCACTTCACTCTCGACTTCCTCATCTGAGGTGTCGGAGCACGTAAATAAGCGAGCTGCAAAAAATTCTCAACTTTCCTGTTTGCAACATGTTAGACTAAAGCAAACAACGAGATTAAACACCTCAGTGTTTAACAGACGGACAGACCCAAAAAAACACACACCCTGATGCTTCCCTGAAGGGACTGACAGTAGGCTACACACACAATGAGGACATTAAAACACTTACAAACTTCTTCTTTCCGTCTCCATCATCATAGTTCTTCTTGCTTTTCTTGTCCTTTTCTTTCCCGCTTTTGAGAGCACTTGCTGATGCTGAGTTTGGATCCATTGTCGTGCTGTAAAATCACTTATATTCCACAAAAGTGCAGCGGTGGCTCCTTAAACACTCTGCCCGCTCAGGGCGTCTCAACCTGCGGCCTGCTGTCGCCGCGCGCACCGCTCTTCCTCCGGCACAAAGAAAAAGGAGGGAAGTTTAAACTCCAATCACAAAGAAACTAAATCACAGATCCACCCAAGCTTCTAAACAGCCGCTTCAACGTGCAAATCCGAAAATTCCGCGCAAAAAAACCCCAAAAACAACGCGTGTTTTGCGCGCAAGTTTGTCGCGATTACCAATATTAAAAACTCTCTAAAGTTATGAATCTCCGATGTCAATCCACAGAGCTGTCATTAACGCGTCCGATGAGAGATGGGAAGTCCTTGTGCTTCATGTTAAAGGCTTCAGCTTTAGAGCAGCCATGAGGAGATCAGATCAGATGAAGTTTTCCGCTTTCTCTCTCTCTCTCTTCCTGTGTGTGTTTGGGCAGGTCTGGTGGGAGGAGTCAACGCGAGCGCGTAAACACACCTGAGCGTGTCATCATCACACAGGTGGACAAACACTGACGCCTGCTGACATCATACTGCACTCACAACTCAGGCTGCATTAATATGAATTTATATATATATATATATATATATACAGTTCTGTCTGGTTCTCAAATCTGATTGTCTGATAGCCGTGCGATATTCTGCAATATCAGAACTCCTACAGCCTCTTTACCCTTTGTGTATTACTCCGCCCACATACAGCCAGCAAAAAGCAGACACTACATATATAAAGTTTAAAGATTGCACGCTCAACTGTTTAATTGTCAGCTTATGATATGAATCCAGAAGAAAGTAGTTCCTCATACAAAATGGTTTTTGAGACTCTCCATGTTTGATTTTGTTTTTATATACACAATTATGCCCTCAAACTGTTGTATAAACGCAATATCACATGAGTAGCAGTGTGATATGGCTGTATATTGGCACTGGTAGGGGCACTAAGGCACTAAGGCACCAACGCATGCCTCCCACCAGTGCCGATATACAGCCATATCTCACTGACTGCTACTCGTGTGATATTGCTCATATATATATATATATATATATATATATATATATATATATA